TATATTAAAAGAAGTGCAATTTAAAACATCTCAGTTTTTCCACATGATAAAGAAATGCTGCTTTGGCCCTAAATTTTAAGACATATGTAAATTTACAGAATACTTCTGTTAGCTCATTGAGCTCACCTTTCTGAAATTACAAATCTATAGTTTTTTTTACTAATTGCAAAGACATTTTTAGCTCTGTTTTTTGTGAACCTGCTGTTAAAAATCAAACATTTCTATAGCAGACAGTGGGAAAACAGGAACCTTGTTATTTAATGGTTTAAAAAGTGTTTATCTTTATCAGTAGAAAAGGCTATAAAACTTAAGAAAACGCAGTTTAAAGTGTAAAATGAATGTCCTCTTTCACGTTTTTCAAATCCAGGTTGAGCCAGTGGGCCAGAATGGCCCTCAATTCTGGCCCCCGGGCCTTATGTTTGACACCACCGCTCTAAGCAAACTAAGGCGGGGGGGGACGACAAAAAACAAAAAATCTATTTGGAAGATTTGTTGATGGCCCAGTTGTACGAGAAAGCACATGTGGTTTCTTTACACCCATCTCCTAAATGTAAGCAGATATGAATCAGTAGCAAAGTGTTACTGCCGTCTGTTTGAAAGTACACAAATTTATACACTCATTCTACTTTCAGGACTTTAAACATTCTGTTTAAAATCCTTTTGGTTTCTTTTAATGATTTATCAATGATTTTAACTGTACAAACAGTCATAAATTCTCTGACCAAAGACCAAGTTATAAATGTACACACACACACACACACAGTAACATTTCCATCTCACAGCCTGTTTAACACTGATCTGATGCCTTCTGACAGCATAATGGCTGCTCACCTGGTCAGAGGTCACTTTAATGGGAGCAAGCATTTATGTAACAGTCTTACAAACTGAGCTAACCCATGTGTCACAGCCCATTACAAGGGTGCTGTGTGCTTTATGTGGTGTTGATAGGTGCCTGGTGGGTTGGTAAAGACTTCATCGTGGAAGCAGATCAGCTCCTTCCTTCCTTTGCTGAGGCCACAGACAAGGGCTTTTGTAAACAATTCAAAATGCTCTCCTTGGAAACTGGTGCTTCTCGCTTGGAGGAACTTCACTTTTACGAACACGTGCTTTAATTAAACAGGTTAGCATTCCTGCTGTTCAACCAACAAATGAAAAGGAGGAAACAAAACACCCGGCCCAAATAGCCCAATGCTTACCTAAGCCTATGATAAAATCCCTGTGGTATTTACTGTGATGATGTGACCTTGTTTGGAGAAGGTTTTAAACACCAAGTGAAGCACACTCCACCCCATGCAAATTTACATTCTTGCATGCTTTTGTCCAGCTGTGAACTGAGAGCCTTTAATAAGCAAACTACTGCAGACTTTAATTTCTACTGTCAGTTTATTGCAGCTTTAAACTTTAGCCAACTTTTTTGTGCCTTGCATTTACTGAACTGCACATTTTAGGTCACTTCAACTATAACGAGCTTGAAGAGCCAAAAGTCAAAGATTCTTTTAAATTTAAAGTTTTAAATTCTGTTTGTGGCAGTTTGCATTCATTTCCACAAAACAACCAAAACTTTAGTCAAAGAGAAATATCAGCAACTTTCCCAACTGTGACTCCATTTGTTATGCAGATGAAAGTTAACTCAACGGTCTTGGACTGCAGCCTGCAATGACCAGATAACTTGCATAGCAATTATAAACCTATTTTCTTAACCGTTTTTTTAAAAACAGAACATGGACAAGAACATGGACCTGGAGTTTGCCCAACTCACTGGAGAGGCAGCTAAATAATACTTAAGACTGGCACATTAGTAAACTGCCCACCTTGTAAGGAAGGAAACATAAGGACCAAAGCTAGCCAAGTCACTTTAACTTTCAAAATAAGAGCAAGGAAATTGTCCGGTGACAATTGAGTGAAGCGTGCAGTGAAAAGTTTTATATGCATTGATTCTACAGAGGAAAGAAACTTTATAGATATTTTGTCACAATTCCCATCTTGATCCGTTAACTGATTTTTATGAAATTTTAAATCTGTTAAATGTCATTTTCTAGCATAAAAATTATGGCTTGATCACCATGGTGATGGTGATGATGATGATGGCGATGTTGTGCTGAGCAAAAACTGCCTATTTTCCTTGTAATGTTTTATAAGGTCACATCCTCTATTTTCAGTTTTTCCTCAAATATGTTAAAAGAAAAAAAAAATCTGCTGATCTTCATCCATTCTGTGAAACCAATTTTAAACATTTTCTCTGCATCTGGATTTGGGTTGGAAGGAACCAAACGTCTGCCCTCAGCATGGCCCTTCTCCAAACTTTCACCCTTCAATGAACTTCACCAAAGAACAAAATGGAGCAGAAACTAATTTGGGAACAAACAAGGCAGGGGTGTTTGAATTTAAGGTATTTGCTGATTAATGTCAGTGCAGACTGTATCTGTGAGAGCAGATGAAAGAACCAATGCCAAAACTCAACTGTGCACGAGCCCAATTTGAGTTGCACCACACTGCACTTCATATACAGTTATATACACTTTATCCTGAAACAGTTTTATTGTGTATCCTGACACGCACATGGATTTTTGGTGAAATTTCCATGTGGAAGGAATTCAGATGAAGTGTTTGAATAGACTACAGCTCGCTCTCCGTGAACTCTGTGCAGCTCTGGATGCCTGTGATGTGCTGATTAGCTCAGTTTGAGGTGTGTCCTTTTGTCTGCACCATTTTTAGTTCTCAGTAATGTGTCATGTGATGCAAACACAAAATATCTCTGTGTTTTTCCACATATTCACAACAGGTCTGTTGCTAAACCTGCATTTGCTGCAGGTGCCATTTCACAAGTTGCTCCTGACTGGTAGTGCAGGAAACCTAAGTACACCCTTACTGCTGCCATAGAAATCAAGATATTAACCAGGTGCTACTAGTCAATTGTCCTGAATTAACCGATCACCTGGAAGCGTGAGCACCTCTATAAAAGCAAAAATTTTGGCAGTTTGTAGAGCTGGAACATTCAGGTGTGAATGAACATGATGTCACAATTTTCCCAGGAGTGGGCGTCCCCACAAATTCACACCTAGGTCACACCCAGACTGTGCAATACCTGGAGAAAATAATAATAATAATAATCATCATCATCATCATCATCGCAGACTCTACACGCCTCAGCATGTAAAACATTAATCTTCGTGACAGCCAAGAAAAAGACGGAACAAGTATGGCTTGTTTGGAAGAGTTGCTTTCTTTAGAAATCTTTAGTTTAGCATTTATTAGCTTCAGTGAAGGAAGAGTTAAGAAATCTCAATCTTAATAAGCAGATGCTTCCCTTATCATTTCATCATTGTTGCACAGGTGAATTTGGCCAAACTGACTAGGATTAAATCGAAAGACTAGTTGCAAGTGCATAATATCATTGTAATTGGTTCTTTTGAGTCATTTTCAGTTGAAAACACATTTTTCCTAAAACCTAGTTTAGTTTAATTTTAATTAGTCATGTTTGGTTCATGTGTTAACAGGTTAACATGAGTTTGTACGAAGCCTAAAGTGTATTAACAACTCTGTGGTGTCACAAATAACTAAGTTAAACAGGGAGCCCTCTTGTCTCCTGTATCATCCCATCGCCAGAGTGTTAACTGCGTGAGCACTCGGTCCAGCATTGCACCTTAAACCTGTTGACCTCCTTTTCAATGACGCTGCAGACAAATAGCTGCGAGGGGCCGGATAGCTCCACGCTCCCCAGCAGTGTTTGTGGAGCAGACTCAGTCATGTACATGAAACACAAAGTTCACTGGCTGGAGCAGCAGACCACAACCTCATAACTCTCAAAGGTCATGCATTTTTTTTAAAAAGCAACGGCACAATGAGCGACATGACTCATCACCACAAGACTGCAGGCAGCGTGACCTGATGGGAAACGTGCTTACATCACAACCCAAAACATTTTAAGATGAGAGAACTCACTGAATCTAAACTCTTGTTTTCGCATTCCTCAGACACATACAATGTGCTGTGCAGGTCAAAGGTCAGCATCGGCAACAATGCCCTCGGACCCGCAGGAGTGAGCAGGGTGAGAGAAAGGAGACACCGTCCCGGCTCGCTGGACGAGGTACTGACTGATGCAATGCAGAGCTGGGAGCTTTTATCGGGCCATTATGGCCTCAACAGGCAGAAGATTGGGTTCCCAGGATGCTATGAAATCCCGCTCAGCAGCTATTATGCTGCACAGAACGAGCGGGGAGATAATCCCAGGCATCTCTATTCACACCTGTCCACTAATATTCACATCACAAAGGCAGCTTGTGTGAGCAAGTCTTCATTTGCATAGTTTGGTGTGTGTCCCCCCCCCCCCCCCAATCCAACAGGAGGAGAAAAGAGAAAACTTTTCACAAAAGGAGTCCATCTGCCGGGCAACTGGTTTCTGGATTTTTGTGTTTCCATCTGTGTGCAAAGCTCACAGGATCTCAAACCATGAGATAAAGCTTCCATAATTAAAGCTGGATTATAAAACTTACAGTTGGGTAAACATTACTTTTAAATGGTGACACAATGCCAAAAAACTTAGAATATTAAGAAGAATATTAAACTAAAACAACAAAAGCACTACTTTTTTTTTCCATTCCGGTTAAAAGTTGGGGGTTGGGTTCCCTATTTCTTCATTAACCGGACCATTCCACCTTCAAAAAACTTTAATTTTATATTTTTTGTAGAATCTGAGTGTTATATTTGAGTTAATAAGGTATACAGTAATTGAAAATCTTTACTTTTTCCTGAAGGGGTTACTGCACCAGAGGCAGTGCAGGAAATGACTTCAAACTGCAACTTTAGGCAGTCTGAAAATACTCAAGACAAATTTAAGATGCTGGAGGTTGATTATAGGAGTACACCCTTTAATGGTGAACTCAAACCAGGCAAGTGTGCTCAAACCAAAGTCCAGTTCAGTAATGAGCGTTTATGCTTCATCGTGCTCGGTTCAGCCCACTAAAACAGATGAGATTGGGAATGGTTCACTGAACTCAGGCGCGGTAATCATCTGGTTTGATTGCACTTCCTTAAGACGAGCTGCTCCGTGCAGTATGACTGAAATGTGATAAATACATGAAGGCAGATGAGAGCACTGTACCCAGAAATAAACAAAAAAGCCTCAAAGTACAAAGAATCATGGCGTCCTCTGATCTGTGCAGGAGCGCTTTTCTTTAACTGCAACAAATGCAACAAATGCATTTACATAACTGACATAGCTGCCAAACAGATACGATCGTCTAAGCTGGTAACCGTCTGACCCTGCTGACCTTCTGAATAACTGGCACGAGTTTGCGAAAGCATCAGACACATGTCAAAATGTCCCCGGGGATGCTCCTTCGAAATCACCGGCATAACCATAACGCGAAATCTCATGTTAATCTCATGTTACGCAGGTTTCTGATTGCCCGACTTGAGGAAAAGTTTGGCTTCCCATTCAGGAAATCTGTCACATTATATTTACCAGCAGAGGTACTTCAGCAGCTGAAGACAAAAGTCAAAGATTGATCTTTGGCTGCCTGCAGTCACCTGGGCTTTAGGTCTCCATTTGATCACCGCTAACGGAAGATAAGCGGACCAGTTTAATCACTGTTATCCAACTCCAGGTGACGACGCTTGACAAAGTATGATGATCACAACCTACCAATCAGAGTTGTGGAGTCAGATGAATACAAATGCTTTCAGCAATGAACATTTTTTTAAACCTGCATAGTATTTGTCATTTTATTTAACAAATGTAGTGAGGGAGAGGGAGGTCTGGGCCTCTTTGCTTAGGCTGCTGCCCCCGCGACCCGACCCCGGACAAAGCGGATGACGATGGATGGATGGAAATGTAGTGATCTGCCTTCAGCTGTTCATAATTAACTTTTAAAAAACATTAACAGGAATTAGGTTATGTAAATAGTTTACAAGCACACTGGGCACAGTGTTGGACTGCAAGAACATCAGCATCACCATAGCACCCAAGTCTAGTGCACAGAAAACCTGCAGTTTCTTTCATTGGACACTTAAAGCTGAATTCAAAACCAGCAGGTATGTCCATCTTTTATACTCATACTCACTATACTTTTCGGGATAAGGACCTGCCTCAGGAAGTTCTACAAACTTTCTCAGACCACAGCACTTCCACTTCTTTCTCCCTCTTCCCCACTCACACAAATCAGCTCACCACCTCATCAGATCACCTCCTACCTCCCCCAATAATAGACGGTTCGCCCACTTTACTACATAATGAGCTGCCTATGGGCTCGATCTAGCATATCTGGCGCAGCCCAGAGTGCTGAAGCCCAGCATTACAGCCTGGCTTGTGACCAGTTTTCAAACGGCTTTGCTCGGCACTGCTGAGCACCTAATAACAGGATGTGAGGCTCCAACTGACAGGCTGGTCAAACTCCAAGTTGTGCTGCCCCAGGGGCATATTGTTCTGGGTGGCTATCAAATAGGAGAATGAAAGGTGGTCAGAATACCATCCCCTTACCAAAAAAGAAACCAACAAAAACCAAAAGGGTGGGCATCTATTCCGAGAATTTCTGTGTAATTTGAGTGTTTTTTCAGTGTTGGCCAAGCTTCATATCAGAGTTCCTGCATGTGTCTGAACCACAGGAATCGGCCAGGAGTGCGAGATGATTTAAATCCAATAACAATGAATGTGCAGCACACATACTGTACACCTCCACCCTCTCCCACCATCTGAGAACTGCTTTCATTTCTCTCCAGCAGAGGCTCGATTAAACCAGACACATGTATGGGAGGAATTTGGAGTGTAGGAAGGCAAGTGGTGTTCAAGTGCAACACACAGAAGCCACTATTTCCTTACAAAAAATAAAAATGCACAAGCATTAAGCATCCACCTATTTCCACATACAAGAGGCTAACTTTCACGAATACTTTTTTGGGAATACTTTTATTCCCAATAGAGAAAAAACATGACCAATCCCAAAATGGGCCTCATACCTTCATACCCATTCTGATGCTAAGGTGAATCGCTGCCCTCTTTTCCCCCCGACTCACCTCATTGGATGGTATGTTCACGACACCTGTGGATCTCCTCTTTTCCCTTAACTTCCTCTTCTCGATCTGTCCTTTCCCCTTCCTGGCGCTGGGCCCGGTGCTCTTCTTCTCCTTGCCCTTGCTGCTGGGTGACGGGCTTTCCTTGTCACTGTCGTTGCAAGCCATGGGAGTAGAGTCCTGAGTCTTCTCCGGCTGAGGCAGGGCCTTCTTCAGGTTGCTTCCCGGCGTGGCTGAGGGTGTCACGGGGTGGTGCATTTCCTCCTCGGGCCTCTTTAGAGAAGTGCCAGATGAGGACCGAGCAACCGCGTAGGAGGAGGGGTGGCAGTTCCCAGCGGAGGAGCTTCGGTCCGGGTTGCCGTTGTTGGTGAACTCGGTGGCCGAAGGAAGAGGAGGAGGAGATGGAGGAGGAACGGCGTTGCGGCTGCTGTTTGTATTACTGGCACCCAAGGGAGTACCAGTGGCTGCGGCAATGTCCCCCAGCATTTTGGCTCTCATTTTCTCCCGTTTTGCCTTCCACTCCTCCAAAAAGTCCGTCGCGGCGCTTGACTTGAATCCGCCTGTGGCCATGATCCCTTTTTTCTGATAAGTTCAAAGTCGAAGGGAGGAAAAAAAAAGTAACTTAAAAGTTGAAGTTGATATGAATTTTCAGCTCTCGGTCGCTGTCCTAATTGCACCACATTCCTCAAGTGATTAACTCGGGAGCTGCTGAAAGGTAGAATAAAAAGTCAGGACAAGTAAACTTAGCTGTTCATTATGGAGGTGTTTTCACCTCCACCTCGCGATACTCAGCGTGCAGGACGGGTTTTGTTTAAAAATAAAGTTTACAAAGTCCGTTTATCTCTAAGGTAACTTTCCGCCCGAAAGAAGAAAGTCAGAGTGTGGAGAAGTTGACGAGAGAACAACAAAGGTATAAATTCAGGTAGAAACCCACCTGAGTGGAGCTGTCTCGGTCGCTGAACTGCTCTTCACGGTCCAACCAGGTGTGCCCGAGCTGCTCTCACATGAACTGCTGTAGTCTGCGGAGCTGGGACCCGCGGCGCTCGCTCTGCCCCTTTGAAAACACCGGCTTGAATCCCGAAAGTGGGCGAACACTTCCGACTAAAGCCGAAGCAGAGGAGGGGCGCTGTGTAATAACTCTTTACTGTTCCCACAGGTGCTTTCGGGTTTAAGGTCATTTGTTAAAGCTTTTACAATACTTATCGGCGATATTTCCATAAAGATAAAGGTTAATGTAGTTAATTATTTTTATCATAACATTTCTGTATTTTCATGCTTCCTTATATGTAAGTTGTGTAAAGTGTACAAAGTTTCAAGCAGCTCAGATTCTTTTATTCTGCTTGTATATATTTATATCTTTTTTCAGTTTTAATTATCATATTATTATTAATAATGTTACTATTGTTATTAAATCATTAGCTGGTTTATTTATCTAATTTATCTAATTTATCTAATTTTGTATGTGGATACATATATATTTTCTGTTTGCCATTTGTTGTCATTGCACAGGGGAACATATTTCTTCACTGTGAATATGACAATAATTTTCTATGTTACAAAAAACTAGCCAAGACCAGTAAAATGACTGCAAAGCCCTCCTTACCTTTCTTTAATAAGTGTAAAGAAAGGAAAGGATCGTTTCCATTGTCGAATAGAAATTTGATAAACATTTTCATTTGTATAAGATCTGCATTTATGCTCTTTAGATTAGCTTTGGGGCCTTTTTATTACCTTGCCATAAGAAGAAAAAGTGTAAAGAAGAAGCATTTTCCCCTTTGATGAGCCACCCAGTTACAAAAGCATGATTAACTGCTTCGCAAGAATAAGGGCAAGGTCTGCTGTCATAACATGTGCATGCATATTTAACAGTGCAAAAGCAACAACTCTTCACATGTACAGTTTTTTTTGTAATAAACATTCGTATTTTACTTCTTTATGATCTGAACACTGTCTCTAGGTCTAGAATTCTGTTCACCCCTGTGTAGTTATGCTGGCTTTGCATCACCACTCAGCAATCGAAATTCATTTTTTACAATTTCATTGCTGTTTTCATACTTTTTTAGCCATCGGTTGGTCAAATTGGACCCTCTGGTGGGTCCAGACCTGTCCTTGAAAATCCATCCACTCCTTGCTTTAAGAGCTTTCTGTAATTCACTGAAAACTTTGTATTTTGCTTTGAGAGTTGAGTGGAAGTTTGAGACTTTGAAAATGTGATTGTTAAAGTCCCTGTGCACCTCTGCAGCTCTGACTTGTGTCAACAGCAACGGTGTCGCTGATTTCACGTCTTCAGTGGCCCTTTGATATTTGCACAGTCACAGTGCAACACTTCGGCACAAGGGCATTTCTCAACAACTTCTCTCACGCAGGTCCCACAGAGTCCCTTAGGCACCCGATAACTCACCCAACCAGCTCTGATCAGATGAAAAACCTGCTTTCAGGGAAACTTGATCCCTGGGTAGGGTGAGGGCAACTTTCGATGACTGAGCAGTTCATTTCATCTTATTTTTGTTATGACTTGACAGTTTACAAAAAAATGTGCGCTACTCAAAGTTGATACTTCGTTGACAGCGGGAAACTCCACTTTAAAAATCGACATGCAATTATATCTGTACTCAGTTGTTGCTCTAAAATATCCGAGTCCTCAAAGTACTGAATCATGCGTTCAACAGACAGAACACATGTTTGATAACAATAATAAACCTCCATTACATTAAAAAAAGAGCAAAAAATTTCAATCTGAGATCTCAGAAAGAGCCTTTAAACAGGGATATCATCTCCTTTCTGTTTAGATTTGGTGAAAAGATGTTCTGTTTCATTTGACAGTGCCTTAAGGGGATTTGTCTTGGGAGAACAAGGCATAACGAAATGTTAGTGTGAACACTTTCAGTGTGTTTCTTAGACAGGAACAGTCCTTCTAGAAGGAATTCTTTCACCTCAGCATAGCGAAAAGCCTTCAGGCACTTACACGGCCACTTTGTTAGGTACAAACTGTTCAACTGCTTGCTAACAGAAATATCTACTCAGCCAATCACATAACTGCAGCTCTATGCATTTAGACCTGTACACATGGTCACGATGACATGCTGAAATTCAAACCGAGCATCAGAGTGGGGAAGAAAGATGATTTCGCTGACTTTGAATGCAGCACGTTGTTGTTGGTCTGAGTATTTCAGAAGCAGCTGTTTTCATAGGATTTTCCCATCAACAATCTCTGAGGAATGCTTCCTCAGTTTTGTTGAATCGATTCCATAACGAATTAAGGCAAAAAAAAAAAAAAAAAAGGTAACGGCAACACGCACCTAATAAAGTGGCCGGTGAGTGTATTTAGGGAGTTGTTTTGATGCAGTGTCCAAATTAACTACACTTTTTATGATCATAAAAACTGCGTTGATGATTTCTGGGCCCAAATAAGTCTCAGGATTGTTTGCAATTTCTTAAACATCACAAACTAACTCAAGAAATTCAATTTCAGCTTAGTTTACAAAAAAAGAGAGCAAGATTTCAGTTACACACTGCATATGTGGCTTCAGCAGATTTTCATCTAAATACTAAAGTGAGTATGTCTCAGAGTCTCAAATTTTCTTCTGAACTTACATTCCAAGTGAGAGCAGCATCTTGTTTTCCCTTTTCTCCCGAGAACTGGGCTTGTGAGGTGACAGGTTTGTGATTATACACCCCTTAGAGGCAGGGTAAAATCAATAAGACAATATTCATCTTGTAGTTGCTCGACCAATAAAAAAATCCACAGTCACAGCATAAAAAAGTCCTGCGGATGATATTACTGACAGCTCGCTGGTTTTCCATTCCCTCTGATAATTTCCTGATACGTGGACAATATTTCTAAGATAGCAAAATGCAGATGTTTGTAACCTGAGAGAAAAGGTAAGCCACAAGCAATCTTCATTTGTGTTTGTCGCTTTTTGTAAATGATGCGGATATTTTTATGCGATTACAGCCGTTTCAAACAAAAAACAAGATGAGTCCCAAAGAGTAAAGATTGGTTTCAGGTGAGTAAGCTGAACTGGGTCTGTATTGTAGAGTGGCTGTGGCTGTGGAGCAGGTTGCTTCCTAATCAGAAGGTCAGTGGTTTGATCCCCAGCTCCTCTGGTCTGCATGTTGTCCCAAATGCATTAGTGCGTGTATGAATGTTATAGTAGAAAAACAAACAAAACAACACAAATGGGTGAATAAGGCTTGCAGTAAGAAAGTGCTATGAGAGCTCAAATAGAGTAGAAAGGCACTATATAAGCACCAGTCCATTATTCATTGGAAATAACATAATTACAGTTACTTAAATTGCCGCAATGAGCTGTGACACATCAGTCTGTGTTGCTATGATGACTTTACCTCTGTGTTTACGTGAAAAAGCAATTAAAATCCATCCATTCGCTTCCGCTTATCCTTTTCAGGGTCGTGGGGGGGCTGGAGCCTATCCCAGCTGTCTTAGGGTGAGAGGTGGGGTACTCCCTGGACAGGTTGCCAGTCTGTCGCAGGGCTAACACATAGACAAAGACAACCATTTGTGCTCACATTCACTCCCCCATTCACACCTATGGACAATCTAGTGTTTCCAATTAACCTATCCCCACAAACTGCAAGTCTTTGGACGGTGGGAGGAAGCCGGAGTAACCGGGGAGAACCCACGCAAACAGGGGGAGAACATGCAAACTCCACACAGAAAGACCCCGGCCTGATGTTGGAATTGAACTCAGGACCTTCTTGCTGTGAGGTAACATATTCACATATTGTTGGTGTTCACTGTCTTGCCCGATGACACTTTAGGACACATACTGAAGGAGCTGGGAATCAAAGCCACCGATCTTCCCATTAGTGGATGACCTACACTGTCTCCTGAGCCACGGCTGCCTGACTTCACAGAAACAGGCCTTGGGACTTCTTTATGAAACATCCTGAGGTCTGATCATTGCTTTCAAGAAAGGTGCTTCACAAATCCAGTTTACTTCTACTATTCGTGCACAAAGAAAATGCCAGAGAAGCTCTCTTCGAGGACGAGAAGCGCAGTGACAGTTTTATGAGGGAGTCAACAAATGATAAAACTGTTTTCAAGCTCAAGCACAAACTCAAAACAAGGAGTTAATATGATGGGAAGCCGCACAACAGCTACCAGCTCATTAAAATACAGCAGGTTTTGCAGCTTTCAGTCGAGTCTATGTATAACTTTGTTTCTAAAAACAAGTCCCAAAGACATTATCATTTCAAACCTGTTCTGGAGTTCTCCTGCATAATGAGCCGAAGTTAGAGGAAGTATAATTAATACAACCTCCTGCGAGTCCTTGCAGTAAACTGTTGACTGTTGCAAAGCTCCGTTTTCATTACTCTGCATTGCATTTCAGTGATATTCCAGCCACGTTCATGCCATTACCCAACTGTACAAGCACAGGTTTCTCTGCGTGCAGTGATTTAAAGCTGCTATAGGTGCTTACTGTCAGGAACCTAATTTCATGCTATGTTAATAGCCCCATAACTCACCTGTGCTGAAGGATATGAGCCTATTGGTGTTTGATTTGTGTGCGGCCAGCTTGCTCACAAGGGTGCACTGACTTTAAGGGAAGTTTACCATGGATACTCAAATGTACATATCTGAAATAGATTGGCTTACATGTTATTAGTTTGGTGTTTTTCTGCCATAAAGAGCAAAAAATGTGACCTATCCACGTGTCTCAGGAGTGAGTGGGAGGCCAGGCATTCAGCCATTATCTCTGCATGTGCTAACCCTGGTACAGGATAATGAGAAAACCTGGGTGGAGCATGGGAGTGAGGTGCCTCTCCTAAAAATAAACCTTGATCTATGGACTCGGGTCACTCTGCTGCATATTTAGCATATTTCTGTCTGCTTTTGAGGAGGGGGAGAAAAAAAAGAATGAGGAACGGGGGTGCTTAAAGGCTGCTGCTAAGTGTTTCCTTTCATGCCAACACAAACGCTGCTGTGCAACTTAAATGCCCAATAGCATTCCAGTAATGCATTACTGAAATAGCCAAGCTCAGGCTCTGTATATAATGAACACTAAATTTGTATTCAAAGTACCCAAGAAGACTCTGAGAGCTTTAATAAGTGGCCCTATCATGCATTTTGTAACCCATAAC